TGAAATCACTGTACGGGATTAGCAGTGGAGATAGGGGCTTTTCAAGAGCTGCTTTGCTGCAGCATCGGCCTTAGTGTTACCTGCTATGCCGACGTGACCCGGCAACCAGCAGAGGATGATGTCATATTGGCTAGTAGAAAGGTCGTTGTACAGTTCTAATATGTCCAGGATGATTGGGTGACTTGAAGTCACGTTTAGAAGTGCTTGAAGGCAGGATAATGAATCTGTAAATACGATGAAGTTTTTGGACTGATTTTGCTGTTGAATGTAGGTCAGAGCTGAGAAGATAGCTTTGGCTTCAGCGGTGAAAATGGAACTGTTGTCGGGGATCCTAGAGGAGACAGTCTTGGCTCCAATGACTGTAGCGCTGGCAACTTGGCCATCGTCCTTGGATCCGTCTGTGAAGATGGATCTGTGAGTGTTATACTGAACGTAACTGGTTGTATTCCTGTTGACTTTTGATTTGTTTCAGATTTTTTGGAGTTTGATGAGGGTAAGATCGACCTGTGGTTTCACCATTTGCCATGGTGGTGAGGACAGAAGTCGGTATGGTGCAATGATGTTGAGATCAATTTTAGCTGCAGATATGTGTGGTTTGATCCTGATTCCAAGTGGTGGAACCAGGCTTGGCAGTTTAGGAAATAAGTTTTCATAGAGCGGGTTGAAAACACAATTGTATGCTGGATTGGACTCATTTGAACGTAATTTAGTGATATACTGCAGTGAGAGTTTAATGCGGCGTTGTTCAAGGGAAGGTTCATTGGCCTCCGCATATAGACTGTCTACCGGAGAGGTCCTAAAAGCTCCCAGGCAGAACCTCAGTCCTTGGTGGTGGATAGAGTCTAATTTTTCTAAATTGCTTTTGCAGGCTCCACCGTAGACAATGGAGCCATAATCTAGTTTACTGCGGACTAATGATCTGTACAAGTGAAGGAGGGTGGTTCTGATCCCTCCCCACTCTGTATTTGAAACTACTTTTAGCAAGTCTAGAGCCTTCAAGCACTTTGTTTTCAAATATTTTATGTGTGGTAAGAATGTCAGGTGGCAGTCGAATATGAGTCCAAGGAATTTGGCCTCTTCTACTACTTTGATGGGAGTACCATCTAAAGTTAGGTCTGGATCCTTGTGTGGTTTGTATTTACGACAAAAGTGAATACAATTTGTTTTGGATTTTGAAAACTTAAAACCATTTTCATTGGCCCATTTTTGGATTTTGTTAAGGCAGAGTTGTAGCTGCCTTTCTATTGCGTGCATGTTCTTACCACGACATGAAATATTGAAGTCATCGACGAAAAGGGACCCATCAACGCAACTGTTCAGAACGTTAGTGAGGCTGTTAATTTTGATGCTAAAAAGTGTGACAGACAGGATGCTGCCTTGGGGGACGCCCTGATCTTGGTGGAAGTAGTCAGACAGTGTGGAACCCACCCGAACTTGGAATTGTCTGTTATTTAGAAACCGAGATATGAATTGAGGTAGTCTACCCCTCAATCCAAACTCGTGTAAAATCTTTTAGATACCATGTTTCCATGTTGTATCATATGCTTTTTCTAAGTCGAAAAAGATAGATACTGCATGTTGTTTGTTGACAATGGAGTTTTTGATGAATGCTTCCAGACGCACCAGATGGTCAATGGTACTTCGGTTTTTTCGGAAACCACATTGGAGGTCACTGAGGAGGTTATTGGTCTCCAAGTACCAGATTAATAGATTGTTGACCATGCGCTCCATGGTTTTGCAAACGCAGCTAGTTAGTGATATAGGATGGTAGTTTGAGGGGTCAGTATGGTCGCGACCGGGTTTTGGTATAGGGATGATGATGGCATTGTGCCACGAAGGGGGGAAGTGTCCGGATGTCCAGATGTCATCAAATATATTTAGGAGTGTTTCCAAGCCTATGTCAGGGAGGTGTTTCAGAAGCTGATAATGGATTTCATCAGCTCCTGCCGCAGTGTCGTGAGCCTGTCCTAGGGCAGTACGTAATTCATGGCGGGAAAACGTTTTGTTGTAATCCTCCCATTATCAGAGTTAAAATTGACTGGTTTCTTTTCTTGTTGGGTTTGATATTTCTGGAACTGAGGGTTATAATTTGATGAGGAGGAGTGGTTTGCCAAAGTTTCGCCAAGTTTGTTTGCAATTTCAGATTTATTTGTTAGAAGGGAGTCACCATCTTTCAGGTGGTGAACTCCTGATTTTGACCCTTTGCCCTTGATCTTTTGAATCATGTTCCACACCTTTGACATGGGTGTGCGGGAGTTGATTTTGGACACATATTTCCTCCATCAGCGGCGTTTAGTTTGTTTGAAGGTACGTTTTGCCCTGGCATTTGTCATTTTAACAGCATTCAGGTAATGCACTGTAGGATGTTGTCGGAAATATTTTTCCGCCTTCTTCCTATTTTTCCTAGCTTGTTTGCAGTTTGTATCAAACCATGGTTTGCGTATGTGCGGGTTTGCAGAGGACTTAGGAATACTTTTGTCTCCGATGGCATTTAGGACGTCTGAAAATAGTTCCATGGGGTCAGGAACATTCCTGAAGTTGTCCGGCTTAAGTTTTTCTGAACATAGGGTTTGGAATAAAGGCCAATTGGCCTTAGTAAAATTCCATCTTGTTGATGGTGGTTCATCCGTGGGGTTGATAGGAGTAAGAATTGTTGGGAAGTGGTCGCTTCCACAAAGGTCGTCATGGACCGACCATTCAAACTCATTTAAAAGATTAGAATCTGTAAGTGATAGATCGAGAGCAGAGTATGATCCAGTGGCAGGATGGAGGTAGGTGTTTGATCAATCGTTGAAGATGCATACATCATTATTGGAGAGAAACTCTTCAAGGATCTTTTCCTTACTATTTGTATCATTACTCCCCATAGGGGTTATGGCCGTTGAAGTCGCCAATGATTATGCAGGGCTTTGGGAGTTGATCGTATAAGTTCTGAAGATCTGATAGGCGGACAGTTGAGGTGGGAGGGAGATAGAGGGAACATAGTGTAAACCCTATGTTCAGAGTCATGCGGACAGCAACAGTTTGTAGGTTGGTGTTAAGTGGAACAGGGCTATGGAGGATGCCCTGCCTCACCAGGATAGAAGTGCCTCCTGTAGCGTTTACACCGGGAGGAGAAAAGGAGTGGTAGGAACTGTACCGACGGATGTCAAATTTATCGGTCCTTTTTAGGTAGGTTTCTTGGAGACAAAACGCAGATGGTTTGAAGTCTTGAATCAATAACTGTAATTCATTATAATTATTCTTAAGTCCTCTGCAATTCCATTGGATCATGTTTTGTGGATTCATGGTGCTTCCACTGGTGACATGTCACGTGAACGTGAGAAAGCGTTTGATGAACTCCTATTGGTGTCTGGTGGAGATGGAGTTACCTCCATATCCAGAGGGCCAAAGGAGTTATGGACCTCGATGGGGACCTCTGAGGGAGAGGTGGCCTTTGGTTTTGTGTTTGGCGGTTGTTCGAGTTGCTTTAGTCTCTCTAGCCTCTTTTTTTCCCTTTTTCTGCGCGCAGTTTCTGTCTCTGGTTTTGGCATTTGTTCTGGTGTTTGTGATTCAGAGGTTTTGACTTTGGGCGTTGGAGGTGGAGTTGCTGAGATGGGCTCAGTTGTGTTGAGTTCAGTTGGGGACATTAGAAATGTATTGGGAGTTAATATTGTTATCCCCACATAGTGTCATAATCGTTTGTTGCTTGTATCCTGTCTACCAGTACTTGTATTATTATTAAAATTGGAAAGTCAGTGTCAAGTTTCCATTTTGAAGAGTATATAATTTTGTGTAATGAAACTAAAATATATAATGCAAAACACAAATGACCCAGAAAGTTAGCAAACTTACTGACTTGTTTGTGATCCGTTCATCTACTTCACTACGCTGTTCACGAGGACCGCATGAAACCACTGTTTGACAGAGTATGGTTTGACAGTGCCTTCTTCCACTCTGTATGCCAAAGGCCCCTGTTTGTCATAGAACACTATGCCACTGACAGGCTGGACGTGTACTTGAATTACAAAATGTTCAGGGGTCTCCACACCAACATCAGGTTGTTCGTTGTCTCGAGAACATGGAATGAAAAATACCTCCACGATGTCATTGTGTGTTTTCATGTCCATCATAGTCACAGATTAACACACCTTTTGAAACTCCCTCCTTTATTTTAGCTTCTACATTCTGCTGATTACTGACTGGAACATGTTGAATTTCCATAAACTTTGACTTGTATGGACTTCCATTGATGGAAGCCTCCTTCTCTACAATGCCAAAGAAGTAGGCACCACCCCCTGGTATTTTTGTAAATGCACTAATGTATTCAAGAAGTCTGTGGTCATCCAACATGTAACGAACTGTTTTCTCATCAGTATCCTTCCCTTTGAAATAGCCTTTCAATTGAACGGATCTACTTTCATGAAGTGTAGTTAAGGCCTGCAATGTATTTGCAACAGAATGCACTGATCTAAAATGAGTTTTGTTTTTCAGGAATCTTATCAAAGTTTGATCAGATGGTGTGATGATTCGTTCGTCCAGAGCTATTTTTGTTTTAGAGTTAGATGTGGTGAGATATACGCCACCTTCAACATACAGTACAAGGAAATCTGTATAATGATGTGTATCCTTTAAAGTAGCCTTATCAATACACACAGAAAGTTTCTTTTCTTCTTTTAACTTAATGTTCTGCAAACTTTCAATTTCCTTCAGTGTATCCACTACTTTCTGTCTCTGCTGAAGTATTGCATCAAGCAACTCCTCATCCAGTGTCTCCTTGGCCTTCGATCTTAGCTTTTCCAGCTGCTCCTGAGCACGTAGTTGTTCTTTGGTTTTGCCTCGAGTTTTCCTGATATCTCTTGAAGTACTTCCTGTTGCTTCTTCTGCAGGTTGTCTAGATCTGTGGCATAATCACTCAATAGCCGTTTTGAGTACACATCTGTGAACAGGCTTCCATCTTGAATCAAAGTCTGAAGTTTGTCATCAGCAAATTCGTCAAATGCCCCAGTAAAGGTGTCTTCTTTTCTCGTCCCACGAAGTGAATCAATAGATGCCCTGAATTAGAATTGCGGAGTGCAGTTGCGTTTTTCAACAATTCCCTTGCTTTTATAGCCCTCTTTTCCTTCTTCCTTTTAGTTTGTTCCCTGTTTTCCTGTGCTAGACCATGTATGTAGTTGACATGTATTGCCATGCACAAAACATTGGACTGTGTGGAAATATCTCTATAAGTCTTGAGTGCTTCCTTTCCTCTTGGAATATTGAGTCTGAAACATTCAAAGGGCTTTCTGTATATGTAAGACTTGGTTGAAGAAACAGCGAGACAAGAATCCAACTAGAGAAGAGTATATTAAAAGCATCTGTCATTCCAGCATGAACCCTTTTACATTATGTAGTTTTTATATCTCTTCACAAAACTCAGTCTTAACAAGCATGATATGCCACATGTGTCGAATATCAGAAGAGGAAGGAATATACAAGCTGCACAGTGTCAATGCAAATACCAGACGAAGAGCAACAGTTTGAAGATTTCTATAGATGGGGGCTATGCATGATCCCGTGTCGTACTAAAATGGAAGCACCATAGTTGATCTCAATGTGAAGAACACGCTTTTGGGAAGTGCCTATACTAATAATAAAGGTAAAACCATTCAGGGATTTATTTCATAGAATAAACTAAGTATATAATGATGATTCAACCACATATTTACATTCAGACACTGGAACATATTCTGTCCACGATTTGGCACTCCATCTTGTATAATGAATTTGAATGGATGGTCCATGATGACATATGTGGGAGTGATCACATCCCTACAATTCTAGAAATTATCAACCCTGCTGCTCATCCACCTTTTCAAGAAGGAAGCTGAAGGGCTGATTGGTACTTAATGAAACTGTATGGAGCACTTAAAGCATGACCTTTTCTGGAACAGTGAAGACGTTGTTTATACTTAATGACAGTACTTGAAGTGCATTGAAACAGAATAAGAGTCAGTCTTGGAGAAAGTATGCTTCCAGAATAAATTCTCACACACCGATGTCAAAGGTGTGGAACATGAGACAACAAATAAAAGGCAAAGGTTCAAAATCTTCACCATCTCAAAGACGGTGATAATGTAATACTGATAAAGCTGGCGTTGCAAATAAACATGGCAAAACTCCAGCCAAACTTTTTTCATCATTATAGTCTGTCCCTCAGTTTCAGAAACAACAGTAGAAAAAAGAATACATTTCCACCCAGTCAATGGTGAAGATCATATTGAATGTTTTTCTCATTACATCCTATGTTAATTAAATAATGCCTTACGCAGATTATGACAAAGGAAACATATTTATATTATCATGGAGGAACAGCTTCAGTGCACACTTCCCTATTCTGTGATGTTTTGGTTTTTCTCAGATACAGCAGATTGAAATATTCAGATACTTGACAAACACGTGTTAACTCGTTTAATCCAAATAAGGTCACATATAAGTGGAACTGAATAGAAAGCCTATCCAGAAGCAGTACCTGACAGACAATATATACTCACTTGATACATTCCTCATGATACGCCTCTTCTCCCTCTACACATTGAGTCCCTGGTGGGATATCCTCACCACAGTAACTACATAGTAACATCTCATCGGGAATCCATGGGTTGTTTTACATTACAGTGAGTGAGAAATCTGAAAAATGGAACAAAATGCTTGATCACATAATTGTTCATGCAATCGACACAGAGTGCCACTGATGATTACTATAACTTTCTACAACGCAGGGCGTGTAAATTACGAAACTGTTTCTGAATGTCTCAGGTGATCACATGTGATACGACACACAGAATGAATAGTATTAAATAGGTCCAACGATGTTAGATCATTAAACTCCCTATATACTTACGACAACATGAAGATTCACCATAATATGGAATTTTACCTTGAATCCCGGAAATGTCATAAACTCCACAGAGCACTTTCAAAGTTCAGATGTAATGATCATAGTTTCTGCATACAAAATTCCCGTCAGCCCGACGAGAATTTTGCATCGCTCTGCCCGTTCTGTAGAAACACGGATAAAGACGATTTCCATGTCCAAGGTATGAGGAGAGCAGAAAAAGTATCCACCAGAATATTATACAAAGCACCAATCTTTCGATAAGTTTGTAGGACTACTAGCCAACAAAAATGAAAACTTACCAAAAACTTACCATGTATTTAGCATTTTTATAACAAAGATATTTAAGACTAGAGAGACCTAAGTTTAATCCCTACCATGCGACTTTGTATGCGTTACATTATTATGCCATGTAGTTGTCTACCCTCAGGTCTATGCACCAAGTCTAAATTGCTGCCCAAGAAGTTTCTACATCACTAACTATACATTATTATTCAATGTGTATCTTCATTTATCCATATGTATTTATATACCTATGAATCTTTGCAAACGATTGCATGAAATGTATCCCCATAAGGCACTCACGTTGCAAGACAGTCTGTATTGCCATGTACTCTCGGCTTTAATCGTCTGTGTTGAATCAGTAAATGATAAAGGTTCTCTGACCAGTTATTTCCTATATGTTGAATAACTAGTTGTATTAGTTGTAAGCACAATATCCGCTTCAGCCTACAGATACTTCCGTGCAAGTATATTTGGATGAAAGTGTTTTGACTGGCAGATGAAGAACGAAACGTGTGTGCGGAATGCTGAGGGAGAGTTCCAGTTCTTATGTCAAGTAACACATTGAAGCGGTCTTCCATTCAGTTTAAAAGAATGAGTATGAAGGTATTGTATAATGCTACACCTTTGGATCACAACTTGATCCTGATGACTAAAGCAGGTTTGGCCATGGAACCCTATCAGAGGTTGTATGGCATGAAACTTGGCAAATGCATGAACACTTTAAGTAAATAGTTATGTCAAATTTAGGTGACAGTATTAATGCACTCACATACTGATATGTTACTCATACAAAAATGCACATAGCAATCAGGGTCTTAATTAGGTGGTTATGCATTAGAGTTCAAACAACTTATCAATTATCTCTCCTTTCGGTATAGGCCAGGTTATGCTATGTTAATATACACCGTTCAGTCCTGCTCAACTGCTGTAGCCACGCTTGATATTCTCATGCCATAAACCCTTAACTGGCAGCAGTCGCCTCTGGCAGACTGTGTGGTGTCCATCAAGAATTTCCCTAACCGGTTAAAACAACTCATATGCTGAAGGAATGTTCTGGCTCTTTAGACTTACAGCTGATAAGGACCTCTCTCCGGGATCAGATGGTCTTAATTACTGTTATTCTGTTGTGACCATATATAAGCGTGCCTCTCCCAGCTGTTTACAGGGTTTGTTTCACACTAGCCAATGTTAGTTTATTTTGAACCTTGGGAGAGGAGCTATTTTCTAAAGTGTGTGTTTATATTAGGAACATTTACAGTACGGAAATCCCACTAAGACATTACAGGTAAGTCATATCTGTAAATAGTAAATAAGTACTTGTTAAATATAACACACATGAGTGTGGTAATATACTTGTATTTCACTTACGAGATTTGCTGTCTGTATAAAAGTTATTTGCCAGCACTAATTAAAATTGAAACTAAATTGCTTTGATTATTGAGTGTTATTGTTATCAAATTCAGTGTGTGATATTAGCCAGTCCCTTAGTTTAGTACTCTGGTTTTAGGTCTATGCAAGATGTCTGAATTATGGTCCGACGCAGATGAAGATGAATTATTACAATCTGACTTTGCCACAGCCACAAGTTGGTCACTTGCCACTAATATGTCAGTCAATTCTGATTATATTCAACATGAACCAAACCCATGTGGGGTGTGGCTGGATACCCCAGCACAATCTGATAAACTATCGGATATGCCAATACAGTATGACGCAAATGATGAAGAGGATGAGTCAGTGGATATACCAGCACCAGATCATACCACTGAGGATAATCAAGCCCAGTTTGTATCAATGCAGCGTGGTGTGCCTCTTGATTTACAAAGAAAGATGGATACTACGCCCAGACATTTACCACAACAGTGTGCAATACCAGTACAGAGTGATGCGCCTGCAGACATACAAAAACACTCTGATGCGCCTACAGACACAGCAGTACAGAGTGATGCACCTATAGACATACAAAAACACTCTGATGCGCCTATAGACATACCAGAACAGAGTGATGCGCCTATAGACATACAGGTGCAGTCTGATGCGCCTATAGACATACCTATAGACATACAAAACAGAGTGATGCGCCTATAGACATACGAGTACAGGGTGATGCACCTATAGATATACCAGAACAGAGTGATGCACCCGTAGACATACCAGCACAGAGTCATACGCCCGTAGACATACCAGCACAGAGTGATGCGCCTACAGACTCATTAGTACAGTGTTATGGGCGCGGAGGAACATCATCTCTGAAGGATAGTGCCAGTGACTTTGCCAGTTCTGATAATGAACTATTGTCAACATTAAAGAGCCGAAAAGGACTGCTCCTGACAACGACCCAGCATCATCGTCAGGTGAAGAATATGATCCAGATAAAACCGCACTCGATTCATCAAACTCAGAGTTTTACTCCAGTTCAGAATCTTCAAATGAACCCGAGATCAAAAAGCAAAACTTGTTAAAATTGAAGACAAAGAAACCACATGACAAAGGAAGCCTAGATACATCCAAGACCGCATCTGTATCAGCTGCATCAAACAAAAGTCGACAGGTACAAAACTATTTAGCCTCAAATGCGTCAGATTCATGACAGAAGATTGTTACAACTTGCACAGTCTAACGGATACATTATACAACAGGTGCCTCGCGATGGTGACTGCTTCTTTACTGCGTCAGCGCTCCATCTATCAGGAAGTATGAATGCCACTCAATTGAGAAAACAACTTTGTGATCATTTAGAAGAAAGGATGAATGAATACATTGACTTTTTTCCTATCAGAAGGACTTTAATCTACACAAATCGCAGGATTATTTGCTGGAAGTAGAAAAGCTGGGCGAGACTGGCTACTTCACCAACAGAGTTGCAGACTTCCTCCCTCTGTCACTGGCAAACTGGTCAGGCCAATGTGTTCGAATATTTTGCAGCAAAGCATCAATCCCTCTCATAGACATTACGCCAACAGCCCAAGGAATTGAAAATAAATAACGAATTGTCTCGGCATTTACATCGATTACAGGACTTCCCGACCACTATGATGCCTGTACGACTCCAGCAATGCCATTACGTCATCAACACACATTTGCCACGACAGTACTGCACTGACGTCAGTGACATCCCAGGGCACTTCATTCGCCAATTCTGACAACTCCAATACAATTCCTGTTACCTTAAATTCTGAGAACGATGTTTTTGCTATATCACAATGTACTCCCACAAACGATGCTGATATTCCAGCACCCACTTCTAACATCCCCAAACCACCAACACCAAGAAAGTCTGCAGACTTCAACACTCCTCCAAAGAAGACATTATTCTGGAAATGTCGAGCAACTCCTGAAACCTGGATTAAAAATAAAAGAAAACACTTAAGACTATCTGTACAAGAATATGTGAATCAGGAAGGGAAACCTATGAGGGCTAGATCTGTACAAGCAGTCGACTGTTCCAAATGTCGGTACAAATGTTCTGCAAACATCTCTGAAGAAACCCGCAAAAATATGATTAAAACCTTTTGGAATTTATCCTCATACACAAGACAGAAAGACTTCATTTGTTCAAATACAACAGAAAAGAAGACTCGCACATACCTGGATGAAGAAGAAAATGTGGTACAGAAAAACGCCAAGTTCACCGAACGTACTCTTTTCAACTTGATGGAGAACGACACAATGTTTGTAAAACATTTTTCAGAAAAACTTTGATGTTGGTGAATCCTAGATCAATCATGCTCTACTAAATAAAAACAGGGGATATTTGCTGGAACTGAAAAAAGGGGACTCCACAAGCCACATTACAAGACTGCCACCGGTACACTAAAAATGGTTCGAGAGCACATAGAATCATTCCCAACAGTTAATGCTCACTACACTCGGCGAGATACGAACAGGAAGGTTTTGGGATTGACATTAAATATTAAAAAATGTATGAACTGTACAAAGACAAGTGCACCAGTGAGGCTTCCAAAACAGTGTCATCGTCACTTTACAGGAAGGTGTTCACCGAGGAGTTTAACTATTCTTTTCACGTATCAAAGAAGGATCAGTGCTCTCTGTGGCGGAGGTACAACAGAGAAAAGGAGAGTGGGTCAGTTCAGCCAGAACTTGAACAGGAGTACACCCAACACCAACAGAGAAAAATGAGAGCCCGTGAAGAGAAGATAAAGGACAAAGCCCTTGCTCTGAAGCACAAATCCATTTTGTGGCAACATTTGATCTGGAGGCTGTATTGTATACACCATGCTCACTTATCAGTGAACTTTTGTACATGAGGAAATTGAACTGTTACAATTTTACAGTGTACGATTTAGCCACAAAAGGAGGCACATGCTTTGTATGGTCGGAAGTGGATGCCCAGAGAGGATCATGTGAAGTTGCATCATGTCTGCAAATTCAGCTGAAGGCTTTGCCACCAACCGTCAAGCATGTAGTTCTGTATTC